GGCAAGTATGCTCCTAGCAGGGACCTGCCCATGCATGGCGAAAGGCGACCAGGACAGCCATGCATCGTCAGACCTTCCTTAACACTGTGACATAAGAAAACATCTCAAATCGTTAAAAATGCTGTGTGCTTCAGCAGAACAGGTGATTATTTTCAGTATTTTGCAAAGCCAGAATGGACCAACTAACTCTCCAAAATGTCATGAAGTGCTTGAAGGTCAGTGAACTTGCCAATAGAACTTGCTTACTAAGTGCTGAATTTTCACTGAGACACATTTGTCGGGTACCACAAAAAAAACAAGACCTGTAACTCATGACACCTACAGAAAACCATCTCAGGTAATAGGCATATCTATTTCAGTGACATCTGGGGTCAGGCTTATTTTCTCACATTTCTATTATTTAAGTGTGAGCCTCATCATGAAGAATCAATCTTTATTTTAAGATCACAGAAGTATTTTCTATTTGCCAGACATTGCAGGAGCCCTGCTGATCAACTGCAATAAAGCAATCAGCTCCAGATGTGCCTTCTGCATGTGGCAATGCCAAGAATCCACAAAGCCAGGCTGCATGAACCACTAGGCTGCAAATTGAATGCAATAAACTGTCGTTTTCCCAAATACCTTCCCAAAATCAAAATGTAAAGTATACACTTCAGGTTCAGCACCTCTGATGGTTCCTACAATTAACTACCAAAGCACAAGGTGAGAAGGGACATTTGCCTTGCCCCTGGCTTCCTCTGCTGCACCCTATGTATCTTGATGGCCAGTATTCTCCTTCCCTGTGACAGCCATGGTATGGCTCGACACTGCAGCACTGGGAGGGCAGGGCAGAAGACAGAAGGAATGACTGAGGGTGACTTGCTTCCCTCATTTTTAAGTAAGTAGATGCTTTCATTTCTTGGAAGGCAGATGCTGATTTGTTGAGACCAATGCTATTTGAAGAAACACACTGGCTTTGACTAAACTTTTCACAGATGCTATTTCCCGGGGTCAAGTCATAACTTCCAGCCAAAGTCAGAGATCAGTCTGAGGAGAGCTGAAACCAGAGGTTTCTGTCTCCCACGAGGGTGCTCTAACCACCAAACCAATCTCCCTCCATAGTACAGACAAAGGCAAAATAGCTGCAACAGGAGAGATGAGTCCCAGGTGCTCATTTGCTCTGGATTTATGCACAGTAGTGCGTAGGATCTTTGCTGCTTGAATTTATCTGCTTTGGATTTTGTTTTTCTTCTTGAATAGCAACTTTTAATTTCATTCTACTCCCCACCAAACTTTGAAAGACCTTTGGTTATCCTAACTGGACTGGGGTGGGGGGTGAGGGTGGGAGGATGGCTCAAAAAAAGCCTGGAAAATTTGGTTTGGTTATTTTCTGATGAAGAGGCTCTTGTGCACATGGCTGGTTATTTTCTGATGAAGAGACTCTTGTGCACATGGCAGGAGATTGCAGACTACAACAAGCACTTTCGCTTATGACTCCACTTTTCATATTACAAAATGTAGTTACAGCCTCACTACAGAAACAGCAGATGTCTTGGCATACAGTGAGTAATGCAATATCTTGAGAAGCCTCTGTCTAGGGCTCAAATTCAATCCAAGCTGTCACAGGTTTAAGATGACAGAAGAAAATCAGTATTTGTACATTAGCCTGGCCATACATCATCACTGCAGGCTGCGATCTGCAGCACTCTGAGTAGAAGATTTTATTTAAAGTTGATACCGAGTGAAAGGGTTGAGTGCCTGGAATTGAGACTCATAAGGTGCTCAGCCTACCCATTTATCTGCATGACCTTTTTGACCATGGAGACAAAAGACACTTGCTAAGGAAAAGGATTTGGTTTAGACCACATTGATCATACAATTTAAATGTTCAACCCTAACTATTCTACGATTCCATGATTCTATTGCTGTAATTGCAATATTTACCTTTAATACCAATATCAGTTAAGTGCTATATCTAATAAATACCCAAACTTGCCTAAAAATACTGATTTCTTTCTACGTCAATCATAATGCATTATATGAGTTAGCTATTTTGGTTTTAATATTTAATAGGCTATAAATTACAGCCCTGGTTAGCCAGACAGTCTATATTAACAAGAAGTGTCAGAAATTTTCTTTATGTTCCTGTCTTGCACCGAGATCTTTGGCTGTACCTGTACAAAATGTGGATTACGATGCAATAGAGATGTAATTCCATAGCAGTTTCTTACAGAAGCAATAAACCCTTTTCATGTCAATTAATTTTCAAAAATGAATATCATAAAAGCAGGCTGTTCTAAACCTGCCACAGTTTTTGAAGGAGGAGTTAGAATAACAGTCTTTAAAAGAAATTAAAAATCTAACACCACAAGTATCTTTGCCTATCATCTGCTGTCAATACCACCAAATCCCTGTAACTTCTATTTTGAAATTGCAAACAATGCATGCACTTGAGTGTTGCACAGAAGCAAAGCACTAGTCTTCCAAAAATATGTTTTCTAGTATTCAGGTGGTTTGTTGACTTATTTACTGACACTTACTGCACTGCATTGCTTCATACATAAAAAACCTCAGCAGCCCATTTCTGCAAAGCTTGTGATTGTTATTCATATCCACTAAATAATGTTAAGAAAAAGACATGAAATTCTACTGAATAATTTAATAAATACCAAGTACCCAATCTTCCAATTCTATTCCATACAGGTATGGGAATCGTTAAGTTAGATTTATACCAAAATACTGGCAGAAGCAGAAATAACCCTTAAAACACTTCTACCTCTTTTTCACCAGAAGTAAAGCCATTTTTTCCGTGTGTTCAGGGCTTCCTAAGATTATCCAACAGAGGGCTCTCAGCAGCTATTGAAAAGCTTAATTGAGAGCCAAATACACGAACTCTAGTATATACACAAAAATCAGCATACTGTCATTTTAATAACCTGTTCTGTATGCACATACACGTGGCACCTACACCCAATTTAGAAATTTATAAAAGCATACATTAAAACCACCCAGGTAGTGCCTTGTCAGAATTTGTATGCTGCTGAAGTATGCTAGCTCAAGGTTTTTTGAACAGTGGAAAATGAGTTTATTTTTCAAACTGTCTTTAGACAAATAAAATTACATTTTCTTATACTTTCTTTACTCTCACTTAAGGAAAATACTAAGAAAATTGTGTGGAACAAAGTTTGCCTGCTACGTGAGTACCAGCCAGCGTGAATGGCAAGGGTGTGCTTATGCACATGGAGCGTTTATTTGCTAAAGCCAGTTTATACCTGACAAACTTCATCTCATCAAGACAAAGATGTAACTGGACCATTTCAGCAAGAGGGTTAAACCTTGTTCTCTTGGTTGAGATGGTCACAAAGTAGGGTTGCAGTACAGTAGTTCTGAAATGCTTAAGTGATCAATGTACTTGGTAGATTATGCTTTTCTGACATTCAGATATTTGAGGCTAATAAAGGTCAAACATTTTTTAAAGATTTTGCCAATACAGCAGGAAATCTGAGCTAGCAAAGAGTCTTGGCATGTGCTCTCAGAGTTTAGAAAGGACCTCAGTCATCCACTGACCTGTCCTCAGAGACTGTAAGTAAAAAGGTCCTATATATACACCCTGATGTCTCCAAGTAATACTATCACCCTCACCATTTAAAGACCTTAATTTTACATATGGGATGTGACAATGCACTGTGGCATGTCTCCTCTCAGTAACATATGATGAGATTTCCTCTAGGAACACACATTTTTTGAAAATTTAATCGAATGCCACAGCCAATATAGTACCATGTTGGTGTGCCCTGCCTGATCAAAAAAATCCTCACAGCATATTACCTGCTCAAACACAATGTGATCATAAGTCAAAGCTATTGTCCTGCAATAAATTAATGTTAGTATTTGATGGGTTTAGTGAACTATTCACCACAGATGAAGATAATACATAAACTACCATACAAAAAGCTTTTAAAATGTTTTCACAGTATTAAAAAGAAATTACCTATCTGTAGTTCTGCAGGTTCATTCTGCAGCACCTGCAGATGTACCCAGAACATCAGCCAACAAGGTGTATTTTTTTACTTCGCGATTCAATTTGTTTTCCATAATAGCCTTAGAGCTTATCTATAATAATACTAATTTGCTTTCCTCCATACCTTTACATGCAACTGGAAAGACATACCTGCACCCTTTATGCATGTGCTATGAAAGTAATCTAATACATATCTTGCACCGAATGTCAGTGATTAACTTCTCCAAAACGAGTTCTGCACTTTCATAAATGCATGCTTTTTGACCAAAGTCTTTGGAGATTAAGTACAAAATGCATATTCTGCTGTGCTACACACCACACAATTAGGTTTGTCTCTCCATCAACAGCAATCTATTTGGTGCTTTCATTCACCTGCTTTCACCTGCAGTGATACTACAAAGCATGAGGACAGGTAAGTAGAGAAAAACTTATGGTATTTGCAACTGCATTATGGCAATGCTAAACTTTTTTGGCATAATACAGAACAAGAAGCACCCTGCCTTAACCTGAACTGAGTTTGATCTCCGTACACATTCAAAAGTCTACTTTCAGGCTGGGATGTCTGGGTGCATATAAGCATTTGGAAGATCTAATCCATACTGCAATTTGATGCAATCCTTGAAAAATAGCCAACACTCTCTCGATCCTCCACCCCACTATGAGACTTGAGGTTCAAGGGGATACTTAGATGCCAACTTTTGCAACTGCCCTTGTACTTCCAATACAGCCATTTCTTAAAATAAATTCTAAGTTCCTTTGGCACAGAAGTGTTTGGAAACAATCTCTCTTGCCTATTTCACCTGGAGATGCAGGTATATAGGACCTTTGGAAAAAGCCAGACAAGTCTAGCATGAAAAATTACATGCTATCTTGAAGAGTTAGACTTTCAGCATTACACAGCTATCATTTTACTAATTAACTCCAAAAGTACACACAATGCATGTATGGGAACAACAGCAGTGTAACAAAAACATCCAGTGAACTCTAACTTTTTACTTACCACAAGTCCCCATCTTCAATAGTCTTGTCATTTGGGGCTCCAGCATGGCCATAGTGCAAAACAGAGGAGTTCTCCCCACTGACAGGCAAAAAGAAAATTCAGGACATTTAACGGGAGAAGAAACATTAACACACACAACATGAGAAGAAACATCGTAAACATGTGACATTGTAAACATCACCATTTTCATGTATTAAGCATGAAATTTCGCAGTCTGTGAGAACTGCCATAGGTCCTGCCCCAGCACAGGCTGTAATAACATACCCTGCAGCTCGCTCAGCAGAAATGAGTATGGAGAGGGCATTTTGCTACTCTGGCTGCAAGACATGACGTTTCTGCAGAAGGAACTTGGCACAGTTCATAGAAATATTTCCCACATCCATGAGAGTGTTAAGGAAGCAATTATGCACGAGTAATTATTCAACTTACACCCATTTATTACCTTCTGGATTTTTTTAAATTACTAAGCGATATGTTTCCTTAATTTGAGGTTAAATATTCTAAGGCATAAAAAATTCACTTCCACTGGAGTAAATCTGACATGTTTGAAATGCTTGAGGAGTCACTGGGACTGGAAAAATTCAGCCATCCAAGTAAACAGCTCCAGTTCACCTCTGGCACTGTTACATGTGGAGCGGATACACCGCACAGGGAGCATTCACAACACACAATGCCAGCAGCAGGAACAGGCACTCTGTTCTTACCTCTTACTGAAAACCGTATTACAAAGAAAAGCTGAAACCTTCCAGACTAAACTGCTGATTCACAGGAAAACATCTCCAGAGGATGGACCCTTGTTCTCTGCTTCTGAAGCTCCATGATCTACAGTGACTTCTATTTGGCCTTGGCATCCTCTTCTGTCTACTGATACTGCCCCAGTCCCATCAAACATTAAAAGACTGGCAAAGATCTCAAGCTCTACCTATTTTTCTTTTCTAATCTCCTCAGAAAGATGCTCTCTTTCTCTCTTCAAAAAGAGACCCCCCAGTTGACTTGCCAGTCTGTATTCTACCTTTCATCAAAACTCAATTGGTCATCCCGCTCAAATTTGATTCTTTCAAGTTGTGATAGTGGGACAGCTTCGTATCTATGTGAAAGGAATCTGAGGCTCAATTCCAATGAATCTTTCATTGTATCTGCAGTAAATGTGCCACCTGATATACTTCTCATATTAGACTTCTGGTATGTGTAATTACAAAAACAGTAAACATGCACTGTATCCAAAAACAGATTACAGTCAAGATACATTAAGTACTGGTGACCAGTTAGATACTTAACAGATCACTGGTCATTCAGATATAATAACTCCATAAGCAATGATGATGGGGGAGAAAGTAGAGGCTGCTTTAAGTTTCTGATGGCTGGATCATGGTAGTATTTTGAAATCAGTAAGTTTTTTCTTGTTAAGTGTTTTTTAGCGTTCAAGAATCACTACCTTACAAGGAAGTGAAGGACAATGTTTCCTTGGGAATGATTCTAAGACACAAAGTGTATTTCTTGAAATAATACACACTCCAAAGGGAAAAATTAAGTTGTTAAATCAAGAATGTAAAGCCCCCCCAGAATTAGGGCTGCAATGAATTAATTTTGTGATGCTGGTCCAATGGCTTATGCACAGTTTTGCAATCGGCTACTAGCTGGCTACTTTTGATTTCCTGGATGCCTGACTTGGGAACCTAGACTCTTGTGCAGGTAACTAAAAATGGCACCATAAAGCTTGCACACAAGAAGAAGACATGATGTGAGCTTCCTTCTGAGATGTCCTGCCTCCTGGGCACTGGTGGAATAGTTCTTTCTGGCCACAGTCTCAGTTTTTTCACACTAGGACACTTTCAAACTTAGTTTGCTCTGTCTGAAAAAAGAGATCTGTAATAGGGTGATGGACTGCAATCAAAAGAAAATGACCTCCTGTGCCAAGCAATATGTTATTATGCTTGCAGCTTCAGCTGTCTCCTTTCACGTGGAGGGCTCCTATCTAAGCTGGACTATCAGCATGACAAGAGAAAGCAGCATCATTTCCTGTCTGAAGAACTGTTTCACAGCTGGAGGGCTACAATTTTGGGTGGATTGGCACTTGGAAGCAGCTATAATGACTTTGGTGCTATGCATGACACCTTTTGTGAACCCACATGCTTGGTGTTTAAGTTAAAATACAAAAATTACTTAAAAAAAACCCCCAACCCAATACCTGTCATGCACACAGATGCTCACACAGCAGTGTGTCAGGATTTTAGCTGCTGATACTATTCCTTATCTCCCTCTAAAAATGGGGATAAAGCAGGAGAAGCAACTAGCACATGCATATATTTATGATCAACTTTTAAAAAATTATCATGAAGCTTAAGGGCATGACTCCATGCTAATGTATTTGCAGATAGCTTGTTTACTTATCCTCCTATGCTGGCACCCTCAATGTCATATACCATATCATACCATAAACAAGTCATATATTCAAATATAAGCACCTCACAAATGCTTTCAACAACAGACATTGCAAATACAAAGATGGGGTATTTCTTTTGCACATTTTAACGTAAAGGTTTTAGTTTACAAAATATTTCTCTAAGGTTCGGCACCAACTGTTACGGAAGATGCATGAAAAATCTGTTTTTCAGCACCGTTAGTGAAGCGTTAACAGCACACAATCTTTCTTGGCATTTGAGACTCCTTATCTGTCACGCACATCTTGGCTCTGTCGAGGAAACGGGATCATACCACAGAGAGCACAGTTGGTGCCGAAGACCAGACAGACACACCATATGCATTTCATGTTTTCTGGCTGTTTGAAGTGATTGGGGTGAGGAGGTCTGGGATTCACTTGGGACTGGCTCTGGGCAGGTCCCATGTGCTGAACACCCATTAGCAACTGAAACACAGTAGACCTGCCCCTGAAAGCTCTCCCAGCTGTTTTTCACCCAAAAGAAGTTCAGGGTGTGCACTCTAGGACTGGTCCCTGCCTCTGAGCAAAGCCCTGCAGCTGGGGACAAGTGGGACACCTGGCTCAAGAAATGCTCTCCTGACCCAAATTAAAACACTGATGTGGACACACCTCCAGCCTGTTCTGGCCAAGAGGTACAAGTCCAAACTTCCTACAGGAAGCATCTTTACGTCCATCCCAAGATGAAGGCAGGAAAGATGCTTTAGGAGCAATGTTACAGAAGTGGTGTGTACCCACAAGGCAAATGTTACAGCTAGCCAGAACTGTTCCTAATGATTCAGTTAAACTTTCAAGGTGGCTTCAAAACAATTTAAACAAAACCCCCAGCCACAGGCAAAGCAAATGAGCCTTCCTGTAGAAGCTATTTCTTTTCTTCCCAAGGAGAAACACTTGAAATGCCTGGCATCAGTGCACCAAAGTCAGGGTTTAAAATTATGCACTGTGGGCAAGTGTGGATCACTGGCAGCTCCGCTGCCTTCCTGGAGGTCAGCACCTCCGAAAACCACCACGCGCTGGGTGGCCAATGTCTGCCTTCAGGCAACCAACCTGAAAAATTCTCCAAGAGACTTCTGTGAATCTGTTATTATTCCTTTAATAGTTTGCTTCTAACTGGTGCCAAAGATGTGTTTGTTACAGAAAGAACTGCACAAAGTGGTGGAAAATCTGCAAATTAACACCACTGAGAGTGCAAACAGCAGGAAGAGATTCAGATACTAGGAAAGGAAAAAAAGTCCCCAACATACATTTTAGATCAGAAAACATCCTGAAAACAAATTATCAGAAAAAAGACAAAGAGGAAGAACGCAAGTGATACTTTCAGAACAGGAGTAAGCTGAGCACCAAGCATTACAAAGAGTGCAGCTGTTAACTCTACATTAAGAACATCTAAAGAAAGACCAACAGACCATTAACTAAAACAACAATCTATTTCCATCATGATTTAAATAATAAAATCAATCCAGAAGGAAGCACTAACAGCCTTCTCTCCAATTTTCCATCTAAGATATGAAAACTTTAAAAGTTGTACTGAAAAGAAAGGAAGAAAAACAGATTAAGTAAGTATCATAATCTTATCCAAAAAGCTTTACATATGGCAACCCTCAGATAGAGGAAGGCATTTTACTGCACTATGCTATTCTTAATCACTGGAATCATCTGCTGAGAGCTGTCATCTGCCTGGAGACATCTGTCAAGATGACCTGAACCTAGGTCTAAGATGTCTTATTATCAAGTTGGAGCTGACCATGGCTTCTGCAATGGTTGCAAAGATACTAATGCTTCCATCTCCACCCGAATCCACCTGGAAATTCTGTGCCTGGTTACCAGTGGGTACCATCCACTGTAGCGTCACCAGGACGCACTGTGCATGCAACTCAACCTTTGCTTTCCCCTTTGTAAAAACGGTTACTTGGTACACCACAACACTGCAATGAATAATTCATTAGCATTTGAACACCACTCAGAAGTCAACGCTTTGTTAATTGGTGCTAAATATATCCAAGTACATTTATCAAATACTATGATTCTCATTTAATTGCACTTACGTGGCGTCTGTTTGCGCTTCAAACCACTGACAAGTTGACAAGTGTTTGAAAGTATCACTAACTACAGGACTAACCTCGCTATGTGATGACTTGTAATACTAATATATGTGTCCTATTATTCTCAACTGATTGGAGAGTGAATACATGCAAGTGAATCCATAAAGCATATTTGGTCACACAAAATACTCATTTACCATCTCCTGAAGAGTGTAACACTGGACACGAACAGCAACAAATGATGCACTCAACGTGTGCAAAGTGATTTATTTCTATACTGAAATATAGTATTGATTACTCTTGATTTCCAGCTTAGTGAGCATCTTTTCTAAAATCTAAATAACAAACATGGTTTTTATTTAGAAGCATGATTCCTTTCTACAGAAATTATTATCAGGACTGAAATCTAAAAAGAAAAGATCCTGTCAAAATACCACAACTTTAAGTGTCAGGAAAACAACAAAACTCCAGATGAATAGAAGAAAACATAACTATTCAAAAATCCCAATTGCAATAGCTATTTTTAATTATAATGTAGGTAAGTGTAATACTTACAGTGCATGACATCTTCATGGTAAAAAAATGCCTACTATTTTTGCTGTTATTACGTTTGAATTCACCAAATATATCTACTTACATTCATTTTATTAGGACCTAGCTTAAATCTGTTAATATTATTCACTCTTACTTCATTGCTCATAGTCAGACTATAGCAATTTATGGACAAAGGCCTTTGTATTCTACCTTCTTATATGTTGGTTGTTTTTTTTAATCACGTTTGTCTGCACTTTTAATTGTAGCATACAATGACAGCTCCCAACTTCAACAATGAGTCATGATATTGTTAGGATCTTACATTTCAAGGGCAGCCCTTCTCCATGTATTAAATCCTCCAGTAGTTCTGAGGCAGCTCATACACCACTCCTACACCTTGCTAAGCCACTCCAGCATGGTGCAGCCGGACACCCACGAAGCTCCTGTGTTCACCCACTTCTGAACTACTGTTGGGGCTTTCCTCCTCCTGAGTTCCCAGAGTCACGTAACCAGGTCCTGGATTTTTCCGTCCTGTGGAGAGTTTAGTCTGTCCCCACGGGGTCACAAGGACCCACCATGCAAGCATGCAGTAGATGTTTCTATAGGTTTAGTAAAACCATGGATGTCTAGCACCCAAAGCAGACCCCACAGCATGGGTTTTAATTTACTGCAAGTGAATGTGAAATCTGTATGGTTGTGAAAAACCATACACAGAGACAACTTGATTTTACCATCACAGCCTGTGACAATACCACAGAGATGGAGCCTCATTTCAATGGGATGTTAATTCTCAAGTTATACGACAGTACTTAAAACAGGAAACTTTTCAGACAATTTAGAGGCACAATTTGCCATAAAACTGCTCATGTTCCTATTGCAATTTTGCATACAAATTGGAAAATTGCATTTACGAATAAGCAATTGAGTAAACAGCAGAAAGAAGCGAAGATGCTAATTGTCCCTATTACCTCCAAAGCAATATAACATTACTGTCATTAATGTAAAATTTACTTTTGTAAGAGTATGCGATTTCAGTGTAGAGCAAATGTTTGTGAGTAGCAGCAGCTCTACAAGTGGAACAGATATACTGATACACATGCCTCATCTAACTGTCACACATCTCTGATTAGATTAATTCCACTGACTAAATAAGATTAATATCTGCACAAAGCACACAGCTGTTCTTCAACATGTATCCTATGCTATTCTGTTGAAATTCTGTAAATTAAAAATGTGCATTTCTACAACTGCAGGGAAAACTTTTATAATACTTTCCCAAAGTATATTTTCTCCAACACTAGCTGTTCAGCAAGAAAAATAGAGAGCAAAGTATTTCCAAATTCCAAAAATATTAGTTTAATTGCATGCTAACCTTTGAGGCAAAGAATTTTGAAAAAGATATTAAATACTTAAGGTATATTTCAAAAAGAGTATTTTTGAGCAAGAGAAAATAGCTCTAAAGCCCTTCTTCGTAACACTATTTAACAAAAAAGGCAATTGCAGCACAGACATGAGCATAAACGTGATCTTGGCAATAGTAGCAGTCACTGGGAATCTCTCGAGTATAGCAGAATCTGTAACCAAGTTATTTCTTTAAGATACCTTTCTTTGGCTTTTCCAGAGGAAACAGTTCAAAACTCACTGTGGTGGCACTTGCAAACACATGATGCACCTCAAAGGAACAATATTACAAATGTCCAGTGGAAACCTGGCCATAAAGACTACAACAACTCAGTGTAAACCACTGACTTACCTGCCACAGATGCAAGTGTAGGAAGTGTGGCGCATGCCACCTCGAGCATAGCAGTAGTGCTGGAACAGGCTGCAAAGTAAGAAAGGGGGTAATTAATAATATATTAAAACAAACCATAGGACAGGGAGAAAAACTAAGTCTTTTTTGAGTACAGCTCTGCTGGTGCAAATCCCTGGCTCCCCAATGAGGCTCTCTGCCTGTTTCTGCTCATCTGAAGACTCAGATTCACTCACATCCACAGCTCAGCTGTTCTACGGAGCATCATGCAATTTCCACAAAGCCCATTAAGCAACTCTGCAGCAGAGAGGAGGGGGTCAAGTGCAGCTCAGTAACTTCAAATGGCAAATTGCTTTCCTTACCTACACAACATAGAAAGGCAAAGCACTGTTGTCAAATCTGACCACAGATTGAAAGGAATGGTAACAGGTAAATGCTGAAGCTGGCCAAACTCTCTGAAATGAGGCTGAGAAAACCATTGCATCATTTCAGGTATAAAATCATATCCATGATCCTTATTTTCAACCTTCCTGCCTTCAGTCCAGGTGTGCAAATTCAGCAAAAGTGAAATCCAGGGTCACAGGGAAGGAGCCCACCAGATAGGGAAAAGCTCTTCTTCCAAATAATTTCAGCAGAAGCTCTCTTGGTTTTGCCACCTCACTGATACATTCTGCTGAAAATAACCCTGAAGCCTGAACTACATCTGACTATGCTGTATGCCTTCCTCTCCAGACAAGCCAGCAGAGCTCTCCCATTAAGTCAAGCCAGGCACTCTCTGCCAGCATCATGGTCCACACTGGAATGGATGGTCTCATGTTTTCTTGTCTGTAGCACAACAGACACAGAGAAAACATAAAATTACTCAGTTTTGGATAGTGGTACCTTAATACCTTTTGATCTCCCCTGCCAAAACATGGGGAAAAAAATTAACACACACTCAATCCCAACAGCAAGAAGATAATGTGGTAACATTAGAATGAGCCCCACGCTCTCCACCAGTACTCCTCTTGCACTGCCATCCTGCTGGAGGAGCTGTTTGGCCTTAAAAGCATTAAAACATTTTTATCTTCACTGTCAAAATCCCCTTCATATGAGGGCAGATGTGCCCAAAGAACAATTAATTTAGGATTAGGTGCTTTAAGAGCTGAGCACATATCATGGATCCTTTTATTCTTTTTGAAATATGCTCTAATTACAATCCAATTCCCTTTAATACTGAATGAATTTCAAAAACTCACTACTTGTAATACTGAAATCATTTCATTAACACGGAGTGATAATGGGTCTATTCAGAAGAATAGAGATGTTGTGATTTTGTCCTTCCACAGCAGCAATCCACAGAACACAATTCAAGCACTTTGAAGGATATTAAAGACATTACATGCTTGTAAATCCAAACCAGATTTTAAAATTATACAAAATGACAGTATTTAAGGAGAAACAAAACAAAACACACAAATTAAACACACAAAGGAAAAAAGAAAACATACATTTAGAGGCTTCCTGGGGAGATCTAGTTTACAAGGTCTCTTTTCTGCTCAAAGTGCTGTGGTTTTACAAGGTAATTCTGTATTGCCCCAAACCCCAGTAATGGCAGGAGCAGGTCAAATGGCAGGAGAGGCAAGGAGAAGCTGGCACAGTGAGAGCACAGCAGAGCTACCACTAAACTGAACAAAACAATTTATGACCTATGAAACCTTTGATGCCCTTGACATTTAACAATAATGTGACCTTTGATCCCATGACCTTTGACCCCACAAATTGATGTCCCCCGACGGCATTGGTGTGTCTGCAGGTCAGGTGCTAACTTTTAAAAGCACACAACTGTTCAGATGACGTGGGTTCTTGCACTGATTTGGAACTAACTTTTTTAACACAGGGATACATCTGGGTTTGGCACCTCTTCTTTTTGCAAAAAAATCATCAGCTTCTTTAACTGACTGAAAACTGGAGATTGTAGGTAATCTGAAAAACATCACTGCTTTTTCCATTAACTTAAAAAACGTATCAGCCACCAACTACTCCAGTAAATCTGCCCCTACCCTTTCAGATTTGCTGAGGCACCGGACAGTGTTATCCTCGCCTCTCTGCGCAGTCTTGACTACCTCCTTGACTGTATGGACTTGAGAGAGAAGAAAACTCTTTCTTCATCATTAGAAGCAACAGGAAAAGTATATACCTATTTCTGGAATCTTGTGGAGTATTGTATACATCCGAACAAAACTCCAGAATGCTTAAAGCAGCTCAACTTCAGAACAACCTGAAATGCCATTAAAGTAAAACCTGCTATAGATAAACTTTTGCTCTGACAATGTTCGTGTGTCTTATGATCATCTTAGGTCTTTCTACTGTTACTTAACGCACACTGCAATTACAATCAGATCTGTGCTACAAATGTAAATTGAATCAAATGAAGTAGTCTAATGTCAACAGTTTTCCTAACTTAAGTGGATTTAAGGAATAGGGGCACATAAAGCAGGAGGGATAGGAACTATCTGTAATGATTTCCATCACACTTTTTGCTTATTTTCAGATCTTCCTCAGCACTAAACTACAACATATCCATACACACTTAGCAGAGTGCGATTTTTATTTCCCAAAAGAGGTAAACAAGCAATCTCTAATTTGAATTCCTGTCATCAGCTCTTCTTAAGTCATAACAAGACTCAAGAAAACCACATTTTGTATTTCTCAGCTATTCACTTCTGAAACTCAGACACTTTTAGTTCTAAAAGGTTCAATTTCTATAAAAAAATCCAATTCAGTATTTTGGCTTACATCTTACAAAAACAGGTAAAAACTGCAGTTACAGAAAATGCAGCAAGTACAGAGAAAAGAAAGATAGAGAAGGAACAAAAAGTGGCAAGAACATCTGACAAATTAAAAACTTAAGGTGAGTTCCTCTAACACTGACATTCCTCAGTGTTTTCTTCTACCTCTACCCAAGTCCCACATCCATAGTAACTACAGCAAAGTGCTGCAGAACAAGGTGTGCACATTGCTTTGGAAAGGAGAAACAATTACTCATTCCAAGATTTCCAATGGAGGAGGACCAAAACCACCGAATAACTCTGTTTGTTATTCCAGATACTGGAGCCATGTCAAGAACACCTGCTGGATACTGGTAGTTCAGGAACCAGATTTTTAGACTGTGTATCAGACATCTGCTGTCAGAAGCACAACTTGTCTGTACATACGAGTCAAGGACACTCATGGGACAGTATCTCACTAAGGTGATTATGTTTAAATAACTTAAAATACGTACATATATATATATATAATTTCACGCTGGAAAACTATTTTCAGAATGTTTCAGATCCACAATAATATCCTCAGTGTACCTTTGAGAAAGTTGCCTTCTAATAAAAAGAAACCTTTACACACTTCAAAAATAGTATTCTTTGAACACAGCCCTTGAGACTTGCCTTGAAATGCAAGCAGGAGGTTTTGAACTATAAATTGGAAGCCACAGAAGCTTAAGGTAGTTCTGTAGGTTTGTTCTTTTGGTGGGTTGTTTTTTTTTTCTGGTGTTTCTTTTTTTGTTGGTTTTATTTTTATTTTTTTTTTAAATCAGTACCGTTGGAAGATGTAGGGGAATATCTATTAGTTAAATGTGCACTGACTTACTTTTGAATTACAACCAGAATGTGCCCTTTTATTTTTGTACAGTGTAAGTATCAAGCATAGCCATGAGTCAGGCTAAAACCCAGAGCTTTTACAAAGAACTCACAAAAGGCCAAATTTTCCAAAGCTGATCTCTCTGTATCAGGACTGAAAGTCACTGTTTTGATCATTTAGACACATAAATATCTTCACATGAGAAAGCTATAAAGCCCTAGTAACACAAAATTTTTAAGCCACAGTAAATATAATTTGTCTGTGATATCTGAAGTATTTACACTTGGCATCAAACTAGGCTGGAAGAACCGTGCACACAGGAAGAAGAGGTGTCAGTAACAGTCAATCAGTGGACATAGGAGTAGTGCTTCCTTTAATTCCACACTAGATGCTGTGAGGTTCTTAAATACAGAGCATTTTTCTTTGTTAACCAATTTACTTTGGTAATGTAATCTATTTCCCATGGACAACTTGATGTTTTAAGGCTTAGTTTATCCAATCCTATTTTCATTTAGTTCACAACCAACACTGAAGTATTGCAAAATATGTCTGAGGTTGTTTTAACACAAAAGTCAGTACTTCATTGCAAAAGAGTAAAGAAGGGGAGCGGAGAAGAGAAGGAGAAATAATCCAGTTTACTATTAATGAACAAATGGTGGATTACAAACTTGCATCACAAGAAAATTACAACTATGAGCAGACGAGCAAAGGATTCTTCTACACATTTGAGACAATATAATTAGAGATTTAGGAAAGCAGTGTTATTATTTAAGTGGTTTACATGACCAGAAATTGTTTAGAACAGAATTTATTGCTCCAAGAACAACAGGAAACAAAACCACTTCTGTGCAATGAGTTCTCAAACCCGTTTACACTACTTCTAATGAAAATGTTGCAATCCAACCATCAGCTGGGTTATTTTGCACAGTCACAGAGTAGATCTGCTGATGCTTACTATCAACCAGAGGCACTGAACGCAGCTATACTTTGAAGCATCTCTGTTTAAAATTCTCCTAATTTGTATCATGCACAAGCAGAAAAATGTGTTATTTTTCAAAAAAATGTTGATCCTTCTGAATTCCAACACTGAAATTCTGTTCTCTTTGTGTGTGTGTTTTCTTAGCAACTAAGTTATTTTTCTTTATATGCAGCAAACTCTAGATAATAATAGGTCTATAGAAGAGAAAAATGTTATTTGAGTACAGCTGGGATAGAAGAACTGTAACTTTAGCAAGCAGGTACGACACATGAAACTGGCAGTACATTAACGTAGTTACATGCAGACAATCCATTATGAAATAAAGAAAAGCTGTGTAGAAGCAGCATAGAAGTGAGTGGTCTCACCTTTGTAACCAAAAATTCAGGTTGGTGTTTCCTAAATGTGCTACTTCTCTGTACTAAAACGGATGTATCCAGAGCTCTGGACAGGAACAGATGGCAAGATTACCCCAAAA